TTAAAAGAGAGGGGTAGAGTCTGAATACAGTAAAATATTCAATTCAATTTACTCACACTAATAAATCCTACTAAATGTAAGATGCCATTACAGATAGAAAATGTTGGATTTTCTTTTAATATAGGCATGAATAATTTCCTTGATAAACTGTGATAAGATTTTGACGCTGTATCACTTCCCAATTTTCTCCCCACACCCTCTGACACAGGGCGAACAATTGGACCCCCGGGAGCCAGTGGAGCACAGGGTTTTCCTGCTTGGCCAGCAGCTCCTTATCCTGCCCACCAGAGTTATTCAAATGAGCTCATATAAAGCATTAGAATGGCAGCCATAATAACGTTTATTATTATTTACCCTTTCAGTGTGTGTGTGTGGGTGTATGGGGGTTGGCTGCTGGGTTATCATACAATGTTAATTATAATGGAGCGTGAAGACACTATATGCATATTATCACTAGCGAGAGTCTCATTTATTTGGGCGAAGGAAAGGGAGAGGTTGGCAGTGTTACATTAGCATAGCTGCACACACACAGATCTAGAGGAATGGCTGCTGAAGGTGCACCCTCATCACTTTGTCCACATGATAAGGCTTTGTTTTTTTCAGCCTGATGCATCTGGTCATGGCTGGCTGAACGGCGCACTCGAGGGGAAGATGTTTGTGAAAAAGCTTACAGTTTGGATCACTGTTGTGGTCTGACACACAGCTCACACTTCTGATGTGGTCTTTTATGGTTTTCATATTTCGTCTTGGCCTTAAAGTCACCTCTCTAACACTGGTCTGATATAAGTGAGTTCCAGGAGATGAAGTTTAAGTTTGTTAATAACCTTTTCTTTCGCAAATAATTTCTGGGTAAGATACCTACTAAAACCAAGATTTTTATTCAGCTCTGAACAATATTGCAGTTCTTTTGGAAAAAGCCGTCGCCCCCATTCTTGCTTAAATAATAGTGAGGTGTATCAATGAGGATTGGAGGCAAAGGGTTTCATTCATTCATTCAAGGTTCTCTTCAGTTGGAGGATATGTACCAATACAACTCTGGAAAGAAGCCAGTTTTGAAGGAAAGAAAAAAAATCTAAAATGTTTTCCCAATAATTATATGAGAGAGATTAGCTTCACAAAGCCAACACATTATTTTGATGTCTTAAAATCCTTTCTACTGGCCAATTTTATCCATATGTGTTTCTTTTTTCTTTTTTATTCTCACTGTTTCAAGACACCTTTATGAGAAAGCCATTAGAGATTATAGTTAATCTAAGACTAGAAATCTAACTTTTTACACTTACCATTATTACCAGAAAAGTTTTTTTCAGCTGCCCTCCACTACAGCGTTAAACTATAGGCTCTTTGGAATGTTGTGATGTCACATGAACACAACCTATTGCAGATGTTGTCAGTAAATGACATATGTGGCGAGAAAAGTCACTTTCTGTTTTGTAAATGCCAAACAATGGAGTAGCGCCATAAAAACATAGGCAATGAAAACATACTAGGTTGTTGACTTATCGGCCAAATCAGTCACCGGTGCATGATTCCAAATGATTTGTGAATACTTTAATACATTTAGTGAAAGAAGATTATTTGATACATGGTGGTTAGCCTTGTTACACACACAAACAGGTGCATGCTGCAGGGATAGCATTAGTTACTTTTCCCCTTCGTCTAACCTTCTCCCTCTGACAAAGACGCTGAACTATCACTCCAGCAGAGATACAGCTGTTTTGTTTTTTTCTCCTACAGAAACTATAGGCCCATGGTGATAATGGATTAGTCCTCTGTTCAGTGGAAAGAGTGTGGGACCAGCACAGCCAATGACAGGGGATTACTCTGGCAGCCATTTGCATATCAAGAATTTTAAGCAGCGAAGGGGAAAATATTGAACCCTGCAGCCGGCAAGGTCATCCGAAAGATTTCCCGTTCTTTTTCATAATTTATTTTGCATATCAGCCATTTACGGACACACACAGTAGATTAAAACGGGAGCTATCACCGCATCCCTGATAGGAGTGGGCCCCACCTAGGCTTCTGCCAGGGCACACGAAAGCCTAGCAATGGAAGACTGCTCTAATCCTACACAGTTTATTATCTCTTTAATTTGGATGTTGTCTAGTGTTAATGGAAGCCTCAGAGCCACTGTTGGAAAAGCTGAAGTGAAAGAAAGCCACCCTGACTATTATCGGTGACTAAGGACTTTACAGCGATTGACAAACAACTCATTAGACTCAGAGACAGTGTCAAACGTGTCCGACGCTAATGAATTGTATTATCTTTAACAGAAATGAATTCAAATGTTCTGCTGTTGGCGTCTGTCAGAACAATAGAGCAACTGTCACGAAGACTTAGTGCAATAAATAATTGGAATAAAAGCGACCAATGTCCCAACTGTCACAAAGTCTGCGTTGAATACATGATAGGAATAAATGCAGATAAGTATAATCAGGTTAAAAATGAATGCAAATGGGAATGAACAGTGTCATTTCAAGAATGACTTTGTTTCAAGCTACTTTTGGAGGGTTAAGCTACAAAAATAATCAGGGTTTAAAGGGAAAGTAAAGTCATTAAGCAGTATTCAAAGGGGTATTTTGGAATATTTCAGATTTCAAACAATACTTTTGCATATTGCAGTATCTTTATTTAAACCAAGAAAGTCCCACTGAGATTTCAGGACTCCCCTTTTGAAGTTTTGAACTTGTGGAGAAACCAGAGTCCCAGAAAGAAACCTGTGCATACTGGGGAAACAAGAGCCATGTCTCGAGATGGAATCAAAACGTCTTTCTGAGAAGTGAGAGGGTTAACCACTCAGCCACCAGGATATGCGCATGTAGGCTGTTCACCGGGCGGGCTTTTTTCACCAAAATCCTACATAATGTTGCTTCAAGCAGATTGTGCATCTGATTGGCTCGAGTTTACAAAGTTAAATTCAAATTTCGGTAAATTACTTGGTAAATACAATTACAGAATCCCTTGACCATCTTTGGATCAAGGGATATGACACTACATCTGGTTGATGTCACTTTAAAATTAAGCATATTATAAATTCCCAAACCATTAGAACTGTGATACATAGAATATACATTACATTTCGAAATTCAGTCAAAATGGCACAGAAAGAGGTATATGTGATCCGAGTTCAGAACCATAGTTAATGCTATTGAAACACAAAAAAGTTATGCCACACGACAATAAGGATAATTAAGACAAACAAATTCAAGCATTGGAATTTTACATTAATTCTCCATGAGCTTGTGGGGCCATTGTCCTCATAGATGTAAAAATGACAGTGGAGGGGAAATGTATTCAACTCTTAACAAACGCGCGCACAGCTAAAGTCAGATAAGTGAATGGCAATTACATTATTATTTATTTCCGTCCTTATCAAGCTTTGTTTTGTTATTTATTTCCCACTGTCTTCAATGAGTTAAACAATCCCTGGAGATTAGGAATGCGCTGTTTGTTTTTCAGGCGACACACGTTTCATGTCCATCTGTGTGTGTGTGTGTGTGTGTGTGTTTGTGTGTGCGTGTGTTAATTCCAGGGGATGTGTTCATTATCGTCCGGTCCAGGCCTGTCCCTTTAATAGTAATTGGAGCTATATTAATTGCTGTTGCCGTGGCTGGTTGATGGTAGCACGGTGATGTTGGGCTGATACCGACCTTCCGTTTTTTTATAGTTTTTTTTTTCTCTTCCTCTTCCTCCGGTCTTCACAAACTAACAGGCGATTGAGCGTCGGTGCGGGGGGAGGGGGGAGGAGGGGGAGTAAGGGAGAGAGATAGCCCCTCTATCAGCTCCGGAGCAGGCGCTGTCTTTATCAGGAGCACGATTGGCAAAAAGGAAACTTTGACCGGTCTGAATTTTTCTCTTATCGTGGCGAGCCCCCACCTCTTCTCCTCCTCCTCCTCCTCCTCCTCCTTCTCCTCCACTTCCCTCGCTCCATCCATCCACCCTTTCCTCCTCTTTGGTTCTCTCCATCGCACCCCTCCCGCAGCTCTATACAACAATATGTGTTTTACCATTGTTTCTGCTTGTACGGGCTGGTCTTGAAATGGACCGGACTGCTCTGAAAAAGTGCACATCCAAAGAGCGAAGTGGATGCATTTGCAAAAAGGGAACATTGACTTTTACGAGCCTTTAACCTCGTTCCCTTGTCATTCATTTTCAGACAATAAATATTGCACCCAAAACATATTGTTCCAACTATCACTTAATGAACGGTTGGTCCATGTAGCAATTGTCTTGACAGTATAATATCTGGATGTTTCTAAACTTCTTTGGGGGACTTTGAGTAGGGAATAGGGAGCGTTTACTTGACATCACAACTTTGCAAAGAGTCTGTGGTTTATAATTGTGGTGGAGCATAGTTGGCAAATCTTTCCAGGTAACTATGGTAACTGTCAAATGTCTCTAACTCCTGGGCCAATCCACATAACAAATCAACTATGATCTAATTATTTTCACATACATTTTGTCTAGAAGTGGTGACATTTTTCAAAGAACTAATTATGCATGATGTTGGACATTAGAAAGGACTTTCAAACAAAAGGTTTGTGAATCATCAACACTATCAAATAATGTTTTGGGAAAACATTTGGACATTTTCCTTTTCAAAGTTTGTTTAACACATCGCTTCATTCACATTGAATTCTAGAATATGAACACATCTGATGTTACGCCCACTTCGCAGCTCCAAAAGAAAAAAACAAAACTCACTTGAGATGTATTTTACAACATTGTTTTTAAAGCAGAAAAAAAACACAGAGATCAGAGTGAAATGGTTAAAACAGAAACAATACAATGTTTTTTTTTTCCACTTCGAATGTTTTGAATGTGACACTGCAAAAATATGTCCTAACTTGCACTTCCACAAACCTAACTCATGTGTGTTCTGTAGTTGAATGCACACAAATAAATACACATGCATGTTGAATAAGCACTCATAGTGTCATCTTCTACTTTGACTGTTAAAAGTGAGGCTATAGTGATGAAGATGTATAAGCGACACTGACCTGGTCCTTTCCACTGCCGTCCATCAGTCTCCTCCTCTCCTTCCTCCTCGTCTTCCTCACAGCTCGATATCGGGGCCCGTTCATCCACCGGCTCTTCATCTTCCGGACCGCCTCGCGAGTCCTGGCTGTGGTGCTCTGGTCAGCGATACACAAAACATCAGTTATAGTGGCGATAGTTTATAGAAAGGGTACATGGCTTCAGTGTTCTCTTGTACAGTACACAGGAATTGCAATATTTAGAATAATTACATAATGGTTCAGTACATTCTGTACATAGCTCCAGAATATACAGTCTGAGCCGGGCCTGTATACTTAGCACTGCCGTTTCTGTCTGCTGATCAAAGCTCCTAAGCTGCAACTCAACTCCCGGCCTCACACACATAAACTCTTTGATTTGGTTCAGCCATCGCAGACTTCAATGTGCCTGTCCGACTGCATCAGCGCGCCCCTAGATTGCCTGCACATCTGGACACGCTCCTAAGAAAATTCCTATATGGTTTATCATCATATTAAAGCTGGGGTGCCTAACTTTTTCATAAATAATAATACATGTTGTTTGTCCCAAAGCAAAGAGTCTAGTCAGGGGTCGGCAACCTGCGGCTCTTTAGTGCTCCTCACGTGGCTCCTGGAGCATTTTAAAAAATATCTGAGAATGGAGTGGGAGGACTATATTTTATTTCTAGTTTGAATGTGGTTTCTGTAGGAGGAAAAACATTCGTAACGTTTTCAAATGCTGTAAAAATGTGCGTAAGTAATATTCAATTTCAACATTTCTGTCAACGCAGGGCGTCATATCCGGTGATGCGGCCGCTGTGGTAAACAAACCGGCGTGTGCGCATGGATCCCGAAGCTAAAAGGAGAAAGAGTCGATAATAAGACTGGACTAAGAACAGGAATGAAAATTAGCTTTCAGTCAATGAGGAAGGACTGTTTCATGTTTACGTTGTAATGAGAAGCTTTGTTGCAACATGAGGAACAATGAAGTGCAAAACACCGTTCACTGTGATTACGCGAAGGATTCGTTCATTAAAAATTCAGAGCACCTTTTTTCAGAATTCAAAAACCTCCGTTAAGACGGTGAAAGAAAGGGCCATTAAGGACATTAATTCAGCTCCAGCAAACTTCGGTGAGGTGATCGATATGAGCAGACTGTGATGCAGGTATGTGAACTCTGTCCCAGCCAAAAAGCAGATTTATTCACTGAATTTCTACAATTGCATGAAGGCAAAAAATGTAAGTTAAAGTTTAAGCAGAGTTGTCACATGGTGCGTCATTCTCCAGGACACGCTGCAGTGAAAATACACATTTGATAATCATGAATGCTTATTATGTATTTGTAGCCTTTACTTTGTCATTTAGATATTAGGCTAATATAGCTATTACAGCTAGCAGCCTGTGTTACCTTCATATAAGTCTTATACAAGATGTGTTATTTGTTTGCGGCGCCAAATTTGGCTCTTTGAACCTTTTGAGTTGCCGACCCCTGGTCTAGTAAAATTTTGTGAATGATTAAGACCAAAAAAATGCTACATTCATCTTATTATAAAGCCGTTATCATGTTCATATTTGTAAGAAAGATTTGACAATTTGGGTGAAAGGTGATTGGCTGATTTCCGTCTGTTTTCCGTTTGAAAAAGGTGATCTAAATATGTAACAAAGGTAAAGACCTATGCATGTGAATACTGAAAGTGTTAGAAACAAAAAAAAATTGAGCGCTCAATGGATTTCATTATAAAGCTACCCTTGCTTTAAATAGCCCCTATTACAAATTGCGAAATGTATGTATTCTTTTGATGGGTACAATCCACATTTATAAACATACTGTATGTGTGAACAAATGTAAAAATAGCAACAAAGCTCATTTGTATCTGCAGTCCCTCAGCAGGCACAGAAACAAGTCTAAAACGCATAGAGTATGATACAAATCTGGAATGGAAAATATTAGTAGAAGAGCAATGATAAGAGAAGATAAGGAGTCAGGTTTGGTGATCACATGACTGAAATTAAAAACCTAAAAGTCATAAACCAATCTGATGTGAGGCGAAACCCTCATGTAAATTGAAGTAGTATCCATATCCAGACGCAGTGGAATAAGGACCTGAACTTTGTCTGCACAGTCCATCGCAGTGTTGTTCCCATTAGCAGGATCCTGATTGGTGAGATTAGATTAATAGTTACATCACAGCCCGTGGCCTATCAGAGCAGCGCATCTCCTCTCTACTTGTTTTGCCTTCGTCTTCATCACGATCAGGTCCTGCCCAATGTGACTCAGCCTCGATGTTTGAAAGGGGAATGTGTATCAGCTCGTTTCTCATTTATAAAGTTTACTTTTATCGTGGTGCCATTAATGGCCATGCATGTCTGGGCGTTTGTTTTAACTCATGTCAAATGTATAATATTTGCACATAGGTTAAATATATATGTATCATAAAATGTGTTTCCCAAATTGTATAACAATAACTTGACCACACCACTACAAAGATGGCATCTGAACAGTCCTACTTCAAAAGGTTTTCAAATGTGTTTATTCACCAAATACTCTAAATTAGTCCACTAATAAAAGTTGATTACAATGTAGTTTGTATCACAATAAAAATGTGCCTTCAAGCTGGGGTATACATTTCATATAATATTGTATCTGTCCTCACAGAAACATTATACTATACTGATTTTGTGGAACAAATCAGATCACTTCATCTTATTAGAGGATATTATTTGGCAACTGGTAAGAAATATCCCTGTGAGTCACTATTTGACATTGTGGGCTGGTTGCCAGAATGAGAAAGATCCTCAAGATCCTCTTTTTCACTTTTCTGCTAAAAAGGCCAAAAAACGAATGTGTGAAAACGAATATAAATATAATGTGTGTGTATAAATATGTATATCTATGTAATACATTATTTGAAATCCAGAACTAATACTCCTAATGTCATAAGACACATTTTCAAATCTAAGAGAACACTGTGCCCCAATAGTCAAAACACATTTGTATTCAGCTATGACTCTGACATATGAAGGTGAGATTGTTGGTTTCAGACTAAACATGTCGAAATCTCCAAATGCCCCGAATACTCCAGCCCCACTCCACTTCCTGGTGCGCTCTCCCCTTCCCCAAACCTGCTCCTCTCTCCACCTCGATAAGGCCCCAGCAGTGTGCACAAAGGGCCTGTTTACCCTCGCATTCCCGCTCCGATAACGCTCCGATAGCGCCCAATCGATACCAGCCATAAATGCCCCGTGACCGCATGAAGCCTCCACTTTCTGCAATTTTTTAATGTAGAAGCCGAGGCCGAGATTGAGATCTGCTTCTGCATCTGGGAATAAATCAACGCAGGCTTGCCCGAGCCGCATCCATCTTCACGTCACGTCCACCTTTCATACAGCTACATACTAACACACGTGGCCCCTCCTCCTGCCTAAACACCGCCATTATTTTCAGCTATAAATCACATTGAATGGCACATTGATTTTATCCGGTAGCGGCTAGAGCGCGGGAGGGGAGCTGGAGACACAGTTATTGCATTTAATATTATCAATATTATCAGCCATATCATCTGAGACAGGGAGGCAGGTATCAGGAGGAGTCGACAGACACTTTTCTGCCAGGACACCCCTCCCCCCCTCCTCCTCTCACCCCTCCTCTCCCTTGCTTGCCCCTCCCTCTTCGACAGCGAGTCTCCATCAATCTGATAAGATGAACTTCCCCTGTCACACCTGCTGGGCAAAGTCACCCAACAACCTCACAACTTCTGCAGCTCTCAGTAGTGGCTTCCATCTAAAAAACACTTCACAACGCTTAGGATCTGGGCTCTCAGTCTTGTGTTATGTGGCGGTCAGCTCAGGAGTGCTCTTCTTGGCTCCTTTATCCTGTATTATGTTCTGTTGTTCCATGGTTTATGACGTGGTTTCTAACAATCATTCCTTGTAGTGCTAAATCTATAACTGACTTAAGTCTACATGTAGATTTGTATTGTATAATTGCCGCTTGCTGTACTAAAATTAATATAGTGTATATTCCCTCTTTTTGTAGCTTTTATTGTTTGAGTATAATATCTATAAAAGAATGCTTCTCCAAATATTTCTAGATTCAAATTACAGTCACTCTATCACCAACTTTGGTCAGCCCCCAAACATATACTCAAATGATATAACAGTACAGTCAAATGAAAGAAAACACCTATTATAAGTTTGAAACGAATGTAAAGAAAACCTATTTACACTGATAATTTTCTGAAAGGCTGAGGTTTACATTAAATCAGGCTATGCACGGTTCTTTCTCCATGAGGCATGAGTCCTCAGTGAACAGCTCCAAAGGCTGAGGAGGAGGACACTCACATGAAGCTGTCCTCATGTGTCTCTTCAGAACACTTCACTGCTAAACGTCCTGTCCTCATAAAGTAAGTAATAATAAAGACAGGGAACTTGGCTGGATACGGGAAATCAGATTCTACTATCCTTAAGCAGTGTCTTTGATTCATTGTACATGTTGCAGCCGGGCACATTTTTACAATAGATACTTTAGCTGTTGATGCATTTTTGATGTTGATTGTTTATGTACAAGGCTTGTTCCTGTATGGCCTCTGTAATCATGGTAGAGAAGCCTCAACATCAACTTAGCTATGTTTACATATCATTACATTAGCAAAATCAAATGCATTGAGGCCTGCATGGAAGATTTCTCTCAAATACTCAAAGATAAAAACAAGTGGTTCCTTAGAACAGATGCAATTGGTCCAGAGAAGAGCACAATGACAGACCAGTGCGAAGTTACACTGACTAATCAGCACAAATGGACTGTATCAGGCTTCCTGTGATCTACCCCAAAGATAACAAGAAAAAGGAACTTTGTTTCTGCTGAATTTCTGAGAAGTCATATTCATTATTCACACAAACATGGTGCATTGAGCTGGCAATGGTAAAGCCGAGCATCTGCAGCTCCACCAGTCCAAACAACAATATGGAATTGTTTGACCCAGACCTGCAATCAAACCCTTGTTTAGGAGAGTAAAAGCCTCAATAAATCTTTATTATGTTCTCAGAGTGCTCTAAAAAAAATGGCAAAAAGAAGTGATTGAGACCCTAAAATGTGTGTTGGTGTTAGTGGTGCAGAATGTGTTTTTCTCTCCCCTGGTCTCTTATCATCCTGGTTATCTCTGTGCATGTGCGTGTGCGTGTGCGTGTGTGTGTGTACGTGTGTATATTTGTGTGTGTGTGTCTCAGGTCCAGATGGCGGATAAGGGGCCTTGGCTTTATTAGCCAGTGCTGGCCTGATAAAGACCTGGTATTGATCCCAGGTTGAAAGAGCAGCTTCGTCAAACATGGCTGATTTACAGAGAACTGATAATGGCAGCACTGGGCAACGAGACACCGCAGAGAGAAGAGTGGCTGAATTAACCTCGACGCACTCGCCAAGCTCACCTTTGGCACAACTGCAAACCAGGGAAACTGCCACTCTCAAAACAGAGCCTCATAACTGTACATTTAGCTTACGGATTTACGGAAGACATGGACTTCTGCGGGGCTATTGGTATATAAAATAATCAATTAATTTACAAAGAAACAATAAATAGATCTTTTCAATTATAAACTTTAAGTCGTTTGTAAACCTAAGACTATTTTGAAGTGTTTTTGAACAGTCTTGTGTGTTTGGCGTTTGATAATCAGTGTATGTTATCTGACAAAAACCCCCACTTCTATACTTAAGTAATCAACAAATGTCAATGTTTACGGACAATAAAAGCGATCAATAAAACATGATACAGCTGTTACTTGGCATATCCACAGCGCATACAATATAATCAAGTTCTGGAGCAGTCAAAATGATTTTTTATGACACCAATCAAAAACCAAACTGGACACAGCTACTGATCGAAAATGACACGACAATTGTGATTTATGATTCAAAGACAGTGTATTTCTGCATAAACCCATAGGACCGTAGGAGTGGACTAAGCGAGCGCTGACGTCACCCATAGTGTTTGAAGAAGCCGATTACAACTAACTCAATACAAAAGACAATATCCTGTGCGTCTCTGTGCGTCCCTGTGCGTCCCTGTGCGTCCCTGTGCGCCCCTGTGCGCCCCTGTGCGCCTCTGTGCGCCTCTGTGCGCCTCTGTGCGCCTCTGTGCGTCTCTGTGCGCCTCTGTGCGCCTCTGTGCGCCTCTGTGCGTCTCTGTGCGTCTCTGTGCGTCTCTGTGCGTCTCTGTGCGTCTCTGTGCGTCTCTGTGCGTCTCTGTGCGTCTCTGTGCGTCTCTGTGCGTCTCTGTGCGTCTCTGTGCGTCTCTGTGCGTCTCTGTGCGTCTCTGTGCGTCTCTGTGCGTCTCTGTGCGCCTCTGTGCGCCTCTGTGCGCCTCTGTGCGTCTCTGTGCGCCTCTGTGCGTCTCTGTGCGCCTCTGTGCGCCTCTGTGCGCCTCTGTGCGTCTCTGTGCGCCTCTGTGCGTCTCTGTGCGCCTCTGTGCGTCTCTGTGCGTCTCTGTGCGTCTCTGTGCGTCTCTGTGCGCCTCTGTGCGCCTCTGTGCGCCTCTGTGCGTCTCTGTGCGTCTCTGTGTGTCTACGTTATGTGTTTGTGTGTGTATTTTTGCCTGTGTGTCTTTGTGTCTGTCTGTGTGTCTGTCTGTGAGTCTGTTTGTGTGTGTGTATTTGTGCCTGTGTGTCTGTGTGTCTGTGTGTGTGTGTGTGTGTGTGTGTCTGTCTGCCTATCTGAGTGTCTCTGTGTGTGTGTGTGTGTCTGTCTGTGAGTCTGTGCGTCTGTGTGCACATATGTACTTTTCAATGTAAGTCCATGAGCGCCAAAGCAAGTTGGAGAATAACTTTGTCCATGATAACCGCTATTCCCCAACTATGAGCCGCAACTCTTTTCCATTTCTTTTACCTCTGCGGCATATATAGCAATGAGGCTAGCAACCACTGTACTTCCCTATGAGGAAAAGAAAGAGCTAGCAGCTTAGCATTGTCCATCTATAGACAGTTGATCCCAACCAAGGACCATCCATTTTGTTGATCACTTTCCTGAAAGATCCAAACACATAGAAGATCACTGAATAATATGAAAGCATCCATCATGTCGTGATAAACGTCATCATCCATCCACTGCAAAATGATTTCACATAGAGTTTGTTTGTCTGTCTGTCTGTGGGTACAATTCTCTTGCTCCCACACCGCCCCTCACCACACACACCTACACACACCACTGTAATCTCTAATCTCGTCTCGATTAGCACCTGACAGAATTTCCATGGCTTTATCAAACCGAGCCAACCAGCCAGACGCTTATCACGCCGGGGCCCCAAAATTTCACAAGAGCAGGAATTTTTGAGATTAAAAAACACAGCTGGCGAAATCTTGAATAAGTCAAAAGAATATGAGAAAGAAAAACTCCATCACCATCACACGGTACATGGAGAGACTTTTGGATAAGAGGTGCGTGAAGGGCAGGCCAAGATTCAACCTACACTGTTTCTTTTTTTATTGGTTTTGACACAAAGGAGATAAGCAGTTGTGGGTCTGTATGTGAGTGGGATAAAACCAGGTTAACAGCAGTTGATCAAAGAATTATTTTAGCTGCACAGTTAACGGTGGCTGTAACAGTTGCTAATAGAGATAATAGAGATATGGGGGGGAAGCGCTCTTCACTCAAAAGTACCCATTCTTTCAAGAGATTATTCTTTCGAGACAATATCAGCGCTGATCTGCTTTGTGCTTGGAAAGGCGAAAGAAAAAATATTATAAAAAGTAACTGAAAAGGCAACAAGAATGGATTAAGTGCTCCAAGCTTTAAGTATGTGGCAAAGGCAGTTATGTTTAAAGCAGCGACATGAAGCACAAAACATGTTTTTGTTATTGTTATGAAAGGGACACTACTTTTTCACATGTTGCTGTGCTATCGTTGCCATTTGAATGTTCTATTAAAAGTCGGTAAAACATTTAAAGCCGCTATTGCCGCTGCATATAGTGTGCTATAGAAAGGCAAAAATCTTTCATTATTCTTTCTAGGACTAAATAATAAGGCAATTTGCAAACTGCGACTACACAAATTGTGATTCATAGTCAATGAATCTTTACACTGACTCAGAGTTAAAAATATGACAGATAAATACATTCAACAACAAAATAATCTAAGCACTCCATGAAGAATAAGTTACGCCGATCGTAATGATTACACACAAGTATTTTCTGATGCCTTTTTTTGCAAATGAGGTAGACAAAGGAGTGCTGCTCTTGACTTTGTGGTTTTGGTCTCGGCGTTAGGAGTGAGGAAGCAGGTGCAGCGGCTTAACCTTGCACAGAACACCCTGGTCAGATCATTTGTATCACGTTTCTGCTAAAACACTGGGACTCAAAGGCACTTCTCTTAAAATGTGTGAATATGAGCTGTCTGAGCTACTGACAAGGCTTTTTTTTCCTCTTCTGTTCGGGGGACATTTGAGCCGTTAATTGTATGATCCTTCATACTATTTCTAGGCATTTCCTTTTACGAAACATGGGAGATAAAGTGTACGTGCCGTTTCAACATGTGTGAGGAAGTGCAGTCGAGTCTCCAACCATCATTCACAAGTTTGGGCCACACTCCATACGCTTCGTACTGATAAGTGATAATGATAAAACTGCTTCTCCTTATAACGATAGAACTATTCTACTACTTCTATATACAGCTAATCATCCGTTTATTTATTCAACGTCCTACAGCTCAACATAATTATGCTCTCTTTTCAATAATCTTTTTTTTTTTGAGGGGGAAAAATACAAAAATACAGTGACTACATACATAATATTAATCTATCCTATCCTACTGTAGCTAGCTACAAGACACATTCCAAGACATCTTGTTGGTAGGACAGCTAAAAGAAAAGTAAATTGAATATCCATATATGAGTGGTACAGTCACTCTATTGAAAAAATACACACACTATATCTGCACAAGTACAGTATTTATAACTATTGAAAATATTTTTGAAACAACAGCGAAAAAAGCTTTACGGAAGCCCCCTCGCTCGCTGTCCGGTGGCAGCAGGTACTAAGAATAGACGGTATTGTGTGTATGGAACTGTCCACAGCACACACACACACAATGTTACAATGCCTACGAGACGACCATCAGAATGTGGAGAATAATGTTTTAATTGTTCTTTGAGACTTTATTATATTTTATTTTTTAATGTATAGGGTTGTGCTATACCTAATTTGGTGCTCCTTATTACTATTGTTCTTTAACTTGTGACGCTGAAACACTGAAGTTTCCCCACTAAGGGATGAATAAAGAATCTCAAAATCTTGAAATCTAAATCATTGTTGTCCTGGACCTGTGTGTGTGTGTGTGTGTGTGTGTGTGTGTGTGTGTGTGTGTGTGTGTGTGTGTGTGTGTGTGTGTGTGTGTGTGTGTGTGTGTGTGTGTGTGTGTGTGTGTGTGTGTGTGTGTGTGTGTGTGTGTGTGTGTGTGTGTGTGTGTGTGTGTGTGTGTGTGTGTTTTTACGTTTCAGAAAATAATATTAAAAATGTACTTAAAAATTAGAAGAAAACGCATAAACGTAGAGGTACCTTCGCTGTAGCCGGGCGTGTGCGGCTGTGGACTGGCGCTCTCTCTGTCCTCCGCCGAGTCGTCTGGGTCTGAAGCCCCGCCCTCTTCTCCCGACAGGCTCAAATTGTCCGTGATGTTCTCCTCCCCGCCGTCCAGATCGCCCATGGACCCTGGGAAAATAACAGAACGGCATTTACACATCACTCGCTTTTCTTTAGTGCGTGCGATGGCCTAAAGAACGGATCTGAGGACATAATAACTGTGAGCAAATTACACTCACAAATAGCACTTTAATTACATTCCTGGAGCCTTAAGTCCAAACATGAAAAAAATAATAGAAAGCTACTTATGATAATACTTTGAAATCGCCTGAACGGCACGCGCCTGCTTTATGAGAGTCCTCTTGAGAATAAAAACATATATGAGATGGATTGGACACAGTGAACGCTCTAATCCAGTAGATTAATAGCATGGAGCCTGGACACCTCCTAGCCTGATCCCTATCACTTACACTGCTATAGTCCCCGCTGACCATAGTAATTAAGACACTACTTCTCATCTATTTTAGCCCCTTTGAAGATTACATCCAAAATATGGAGACGGCTAATATGGAATTAATGTGACTTTCTTAAATTGCTTTATTAATAATAGGTTTTCGATTGGGTGATTAAGGCAGACAGAGCTAAACGCAGAATTAGCTTGTGATATAAAAAGCGATTTACGGGTGTGAACGATTGTCTCATAGGTACATATGATGGAAAATTACTTTGACTGTAGAATAAGTGTGATTTTTGCATATAGAGTGATGGATTTGGACCCCCAAGTCATCAAGCTGGAAACAACTATACGTCTATTGTCATTGTTATACCACTTTACACTCAAAAAATTAAGAACAGCAAATTAAGAACACCAAATTACAGAAAGACCCGTTTGAATTTGTTGGAGAAACATTTTTTGGAGATTCTGTACAAGCCAAATACTAATGGATCAACTGATTTGATTTGATTTATTTGTAATTTTCCCATAATATCAAACATCAAATGGACAAAGCACGTATTATGTACATCATTTCTAAATCTGTATCATTTATGAATGATAAAATAATTAATGAATTTGCAGTAAACATTTTTAAATTAACAATTTCTGGTCTCATTTGCCTTGGAACTTATTGCAGTGACGTCCAATGACACACACCAAAAATTCAACAAAAATCTTGGATCACCAATATCTGATACTGTAAATTGCTTGTCTGTCAACAGTTAAAATATTCACACAGATATTTGACGTAATATGTATTCAGTCACAAAATGATCTATTCTTGCGTCATGTACAGTAGCACAGGTAAAACTCATTCAACTTGTCACTTCATGCTCCTCTAAATGACACACAAAACTAAGATTTTTCCTCGTTTGTGCGATGGGTAAAGCGTTTTTCATTAGATCAATATTTCTATGAGAAAAAAAGCACACAAACTAACAGAAGCATTTTTAGAGAATTCAAGCGGCACCATCGACCCGTGTACTTAACTGGGCTCAGACAACTTGTAAATTAATTTCTGATCTTGTGTTGTAACCAGCGCGTGGATTGTTCGTGGTCTAAAGCCGTGACTGGGGGCGTATATATTTACACCGCTGGAACAAAAGGCCTCTATAATCTATACAAAGCACACAACAATAGGCGTGAATAAAGACGGGTGCAAAGAAAGGGAGAGGCAATTTTTCTAATTCTGCTAATTTCACTTCCAAAGCAATTAAAAAGCAGGCGCAGAGATAATGCTTGGAAACAATCGCCGCTGACAAAGTGTTTCTGTCTTTGTAAATGAAACATCTTTAGGCCAATTTCAACTTCCACGCCTTCATGCTCCGCTCTCTCATTTCAGATAAAAAATTAACACAGAAAGATTTGGTCCAGCAAAAAAAAAAAAAAAAAAGAGAGAGAGATCGATCCGGTGCACAATATTTTTAGAACGAGGTCCATCTAATTTTCAGTATCTATAAGGGCATTTCCAGACAATTAATTTTGCTTTAATCAAAATTGTACAAAGCCAGTTCAGAGTCGGAAATTCCAATTAAATTCCCCAGTTAGTTAAAATGGAAGTTTGAGTTATGAGTTTTTTTCTTCATTACTGCTGTGGTTTTAATGAATCAATCGCTGCATCACTGCTTTCAGACATCAAATGGACCGGAAAAGTTCTATCCAAGGAGAAGTAGTGCATGCTGGGTATATGGATAGCATGTGCCTGTAGTGATAAGTGTGCTTCATTTGGACTGTTTTAATTTGTGACAACGTGATATATCTGCGGGAAAATGAACTGAACTGTGGCGCAATCATAGAGAGACGTTTGTATCTGAAAACCAGGGACATTTGTAAAAAAAAAAAAGAAGGGGAACTGTCCAAGAACAAGGCCCAAAGCTGCACTCAGGCCTAATCTGGAAGTGTTGTGAGATATACCCAGTGCAAACTTCAACTTTATAGTGTTCAATTTGATCACTTATTATTCCATGATTCTGTGGTCCGATGTCAAGTTCAACAATACGCAAGAAAAGAACAGAAGAGAATTGATGAGTTCATTTGCGAAGTTTTGAAATGTTGTATTCGTCTGATTACAATCCTCAACAGGTTTTGTTATTGGCAGTAAATGAAAAAAAATTGCTCAAGAAGGAGTGAAACTTTGTGTGTCAGTATAATATATTTGGCTTTTTATAAACTAATTGTAAGCCTTTTAACTATTTTTGTAATGACACAGTTTTTGCAAATGAACTATTCATGATTTATCTTCAAATCATTCCCCCAGTTGAATATTGTGTTTTTAATGAGGAAAAATGCTTAGTAAAAAAGAAAAGCACTCGTAGAATGCAGACCTCCATTAAGAAGTTCCATTCCTGGATCCAGACAGTGATTTGGATCACCTCTGTCAAATCTAAAGATAATAATGAATTGGTTTTATATAGTGTTTTTCTGGACACTCATTTCATTATTCACTCACTCCATACACAGTAATGATAAACTACAACAATAGCCACAGCTGCACTGGGACACACTGACAAAAGCGAGGCAACCAATATGTGTCAGCCCCTGCGCCCACCACCAACAATTCATGAACACTCCAGACTCAATCAAGAATCAAGACAATGTGGGTGAAGTGTTTTGCCTAAGGACGCAACAGGAGTTTGGCACTTTACAGCCATAGCCACTCCACTGTGGCAGCTGGTGTTCCCAAGGTCTCCCATCCCAGTATGCGCCAGGCCCTAGCCTGCTTAGCTTCAAAAGTCGGGATTTGGCTTTCAAATGCAGGTATGACCACATGATTTGTTCCATGTCCCATTCCAGAGATTTACTGATCATTGTATCATGATACGCCGATAGTTATGATTCACCTGCAGCATTGATAATAGTAATAAATGTATGTTAATATGGCTTCTATGGCATGTTATACCTCATTTTACACCTAATGGTCTCAAGAATAATTCATTGTATCTAGAATTTGAACCCAACACGTAATTCCATATAGTAAAGTAAAAGGTAAAAGAAAATTATTTGCCTAACAGTCAACAGTTCAAGCCTTCTTCACCTTTGGTCCAGTATTGGTTAAATCTAAACAAAGAAAAGATCTAACAGAAAATACTTTCCAAACTCATACCACAACACAATAATACTGTAAATAGAATTTAAAAAATCTAACTTTTAACCAACAAAGCCACTTTTACACCCAGGTAAATTTGGACCCTGACCACAATGAGTTTGACACCCCTGGTTTTCATCGTCATAGTGATTGTTTCCATAGCGCCTGTGTGACAGACAGAGAGAGCCACAGAACAAAGTGGGCTACGGTGATGAAGGCAGTGTGGATACTACTTCATTAACTGAGGGTCCACATCAAACTGCAGCTTCACGCTCCTCACACATGAAACAACACACATCAAACCAGACCCTAAAGGACGATTAGACGCACAACGACAGACGCACACTCCACCTGAGAGGCCCTCACCGCATCACACGGGCACTTGAGCCAGCCGCAACTTTGAGCTCTCTCTGACGCTATTGTATATTTATGTTTGATTGCAAGTTGATTAGTCCTTATACCGTTTTCATTTCCCTCCAATGAAAACAAATATTCAACACTAAAGTTACATTGAATTTGTGCATATTTTGGCATTTCATGAATGATTTTTGAGAGGTCCTGATTAGGGCTGTAATAAACAATTATTTTCATCATAGGTTTGTTGTTTGGATCAGAAAATCTCAGTGAATATGTTTTGTTTTTGTTTACACTTTTGACCAAAACAAAGCTCAGGAACTGGAGAACATCTTCATAGTGATCACTGTTGCACATTTTAGACACACACAACTTAAGTCAGTCATTCTAAAATGGTCATGATGAAACCCAAGTCTATGCACGGTTTTAATAAAAAAGGTTTTTATAATAATATTTTAATAATAAATTAGTTGTGATTTGGTTAATTTGCCTGGTTAGTACTACTGCTACATTGTTCCATTATTAAAAACAGGACTTTTTACATCACTCGTGCTAAACAGAAACCATTGGTTGAAAAGAAGACAATATATTTCAAAGAACTTTCTTGTTCCGAGCATTTCAAACTGTGGTCTTAAATTAGAATTGTTTAAATGGAATATATTCTATTGCTTGCATTGGAGGTTGTAATCCGCAATAGATGGCCATTGAGTCCTGATAATAACAATTTTCGCATGTGAAACGTGAAATGTTTCCTCGTTTAAGGATTAAATGAGAAATAAAGCAGAACAATAGATACAGATTTGGTTTACTGGGACGTCACGAAAGTGTTCTTAATAACAAGCAACCAAGATGAAGATGCAGGTTTGGAACAGAAAAACAATTTAGATACGTCTCTTACCATCCAGATTATATGGAAATGTATAGAGTAGTATAAACATAGTACCCATGGAGGACACTGGATCTTTGCCCATTGATTTCTTTGGGATGACCACCTCAGGTCTGCTCATTCACTGATCTGAAACCACAGACATGTATGGACGTCCTGCTCAAGCTATCTCTAATAATGCTTTGAATTGTAGTTTTTATTATTATTTATTAATCCTTAAAGATGCAGTCAGGGATTTTTTCCAGATGCATTTTTAGAATTTTGTGGGAAAACGTCCCTAAACCCTAACAGTAGTCAAGTTATCATGT